GGTTCTGGAGGCCGTACACCCTTCTCCCGAGGGGCAGCGGGCGGGGACAGGCCACACACAGTTCATCTCTGGGAGCTCAGTGCTTAACCCAGTGTGCTGCCACGGCAGCACCTCATGAGGAGGATCTGGCAGTTAAAAGGAACAAGGCAGTGTCCCCAGTGGGAAAAGGCCAATTACAAGTAGTCCCATAGTGCAACAGTTCCATAGTTGCTTGAAATAACAACAACAACAACAACAACAAAATGTAATACATCATTTTATTGGGGGGCTCTTCCAGGTCTTATCACAATCCATACATCAATTGTATCAATGACAGTTGCATGTATGTTGCCATCCTTTTCATAACATTTTCTCTCTACTTGAGCGCTTGATATCGGCTCCTCTCTTTTCCTCCTCCCCCGCCACCCTTTTTTCCTCTACCCTCCTGATCCCTTGATAAGTTATCAATTATCATCTTCGTATCTTCCACCATCTGCTGCTGTCTCCCTTCACCCATGCTTGTTGTTTGTCCCCCGGAGGGGTGGCAGGTTGTTAAATGTTGATCATTGTGATCGGTTCCCCTTTTCTCCCCCCAACATCCCCCTACCCTCATGGTATCACTACTCCCATTACTGTTCCTGGGGGCATTCTGTCCTGGACTCCGTGTGTCGAGAGCTCTTCCCTGTCCCAGTGTACATGCTCTGGTCTAGCCGGATTCGTAAGGCAGAGCTGGGGTCATGACAGTGGGGTGGCGGGGTGGGGGCAGGGGAGCGTTAAAGAACTAGAGGAACGTTGTGTGTTGCGTGTTGGTGTTATATGCACCCTGGATGGCTCATCCCTTCCTTGTGACCCTGCTGTGAGGGATGGAAATGACAGACGTGTCAGCAGGGATGGTTCGTGGCAGGAAGTGCGCATGGGGTGAGCGCTTTGGCAGTAACTGGAATCGTTCTGCTCTTGGCTGTCTTGGTGGTTACATGAACCCAGTGTACAAGGGGGCCCACGAAGGAAAACATAACGGAACCTTTTCACACGGGCGTTTGGAAGCCACCTGGGCCATGTGACAAAGTGGCATGGAACTGTCCTCAACGTAGTGCTGTTTGTCTCCTGGTCCAAGGACTGTACTGGAACTGTGTGCAGGGAGAGCACACGGGACCTCTCCATCTTGAGTTTGTAACTTCCTGTTCTCATCATCTCCCAAAAGCAATGAATACAAGTGAGAAGGCCACCTCCCATCCTAAGTTCCCAATCACCCCCTCCCCAGGGACAGCCATGGTGGCCAGTGCCTGTGCTAAAGGGAGGAGGTGGTTTGTCTCTCCCCCCCACCGCCACACCTCTCTCCCTCAGTCACACACACACACCACCACACCTCTCCCTCTCACACCCACACCGCCACACCTCTCTCCCTCTCTCACACACACACCCCACACCTTTCTCTCTCCCTCTAACACACACACACTGCCACACCTCTCCCTCTCTCTCACACACACACACACACACTTTCTCTCTCTCTCAGGACTACTGTGTGACTGCCCTCTTCCACCCTTTTTTAGCCTGTGGAGGAAGACCATAGCTAACACTGAGAAACGTACCTTTTAGGACTTCTCCTTCCCACCCCAGCTGCCAGTAAACAGATGGTAGAAATGAAGGTAGCCTCCACTCTCTACAGCTGGCCAGCGGGCAGCAGGCTTCAGGGCCAGAGCTGGGTATGATGGGCCATCCTCAATTTCTCTGAACCTGTTTCATCTGTAATATGGGCATCACCTGGCTCACAGGTGTGCTAGAACGCAAGGGGAGCAGCGCTCAGATCAAAGGCCTGTTAGTTTAGAGACCAGGTTCACTGCCCCTGGGATTTTCCTTAAAGTTAATCAGTTAGTTTATACAAATGCTTACCCTGTCGGTAGAGAAATGTTTTAAAGGCACATGGAAGTATCTGCTTGGTCCCAGACACAGTTGTTAACTTTGTGTGAGTGTATCTGTGTGCAACATACATAGACACACTTCTTTTTCTGGTTGGATTTTACTGATCTGCATTCTTGATTTTCTGAACCTTTAAAAAGCCTCTGGACATTCTACTCTGTAACTATATAGGATTCTTCTCGCATTATCCGTAACTCAGCTTTAAAAGCTAAAAGTGTTTGCCGAACACATATCTGTAGTAGTTAGTGCATAGACAAATAATGTGTTGGGACTCAGGAAAAGAATCTCGGGTTCATACAGAGCTCAATAGGCCCTTCAAGCATCGGGGTCTGATAGCTGCTCTCATTTTCCTCCGCTTCTAGGCTGCACTCAGCTGCCTGTTTCTTAAATGCAATGTCAGCCGTGCCTGGGTTCTTTTATTCTGCAGGGAGAATTTCACACACCCCTCTTCCAAATGCGATCCATCATCTGGTCCAAATTCCCAGGCCTTTACTTGCCTCAAAGGTTACAATAACCTGTTTCCAATTGCATCCCCATTTGTACCCTACGTACATTCAGTAGACAGGCTTTTTTATTTTAACTTTGTATTGAAGTAAAAGACTACACAGGAGAATATAAATTCAGTGTAGACCAGTGTTTCCCAAAGTGGGTGATACCGCCCCCTGGGGGTATCGGAAGGATCCAGGGTGTTCTTAAATCAGACACCTGCACTTTATCCTGGATTGTTGGGTTTATTACACGCTTTTAATTGTGAGGGAAGTGCTGAGTAATTTTATTTTATTATGAAAAGGGGCAGTAGGCCAAATAAGTTTGGGAGCCCATGATGTAGAGCAATGCTTGTTCTTTTTCAGCAATGCATTTTCATAAGGTGAGCACACTCAGATTGCACATCATTACCAGGGGCCCACAGGCCCTGCCCCTCCCTACTCCCCAGAGCTGATGACATCCAATTGCATTGATTAATTTTGCCTGGTTTGTATCTGCCGCTCATCAGATAGTGTGTCAGCTTCTTCAGTCAGCATAGGGGTTGGGAAGTGCAGCCGCGTCCTTGGATGCAGCTGGGCTTGGTCCATTGTTGTTGTCTGGTGCTCGACTGCGTGGCTACCCTGGGGTTTTACGCATCCTTTCTGCAGTTACAGACAGTACTGCGTTGGCTTTAGCTCATCTGTACGAGAAGGCTTCAAGTTGGAGGATATAGGAAAAGTTGTAATTGAGAGAGAATGGAATTCTAACAACTTTTTGAAGCCCCCTCCTATATGCATTTGTCAGGAGGATTCAACACCCCCCAGTAACAAATGAGCTCGGCCTCATTTTTCATCTTTTTCCTTCTACCCATTCTGGTGGGTGGAGAGCTCATTTGTTTCCCAAAACAAGACAAGACAAACTGCATTTTCCCTAAGACTTGCCGATGACTTCAGAAGGGAGGCAGTATTCCTCCCCGCAGCCGAGGCAGCTGACATCCAGCCCCTTCCTCAACTCTTGCATCCAGGTGCTTCCTCGCTGGCTACTCATTAAGCTGGCAGCCTGCCCACGTTCCCTTCTCCTCTGGACACAGGCGAGATAGCAGAGCTCATTCGTCCTCCCTCCTCGGGTCGAACCTCAATAGCACATGCTCCCATTGCTTTGATTGGTACTTTAATGCCATTTAACCCTTCAGACACTTCTCCCCAGTCCTCTCGGGTTGCTGAGGTGGGAGGGACCGGATGGTTGTGAGCTTTGGGTTTCCGTCAGACCTTCCACACTGGTTCATAGTTTTACTTACCATTGCCCAGGCGGGACCTGACTCGGAGTTGGAACCAACGCCATTGGAAGGAACACATTCAGACCACAGAGAACTGACTGAATTGCAACAGTGTCCTCAGAGGAGACCTAGAACCCAATGGGCTTGCCTCGTTTGTGGGATCCCTTCAGTTCCCACCCTTGACGGACCTTTCCTACTTCTCTCATTTTCATGGAAGAAAAAGTTACCTCCTCTAACAGTTTCCACCTTACACTAGCCCTGGGTTCCCTAGACAGTAGAAACCTGGGTTTGTTACTTTCTGCAACCTTTAACATTGACACCGCTAATGTCAGATAAGGGTCTTTGTGGGTAACCTTTAAAGACAAGCAAGTATTTCTCAGTCACAGCCATTTTTTTTTTTTTACTTGAATAAGGACATTAGACTGATTGCTGGTCTCATGCCAAATGGTAAAATGGCCTATGAAACCGCATGGATGGGTCAATGCTGACATTTCTCCCCGAAAGTGATTTTCAGAAAGGTTAGAGAAACTACTGTCCAGAGGCAGGAACCCCCTTGCCAAAGGGCCTGGGGATGTATGTTTAATTCTCCTTGCCCAGGACGCACAGCTCCTGTGGGGAGGGGTCACAGCTTCCTTGCTCTTCCGAGTCGTAGCCCCAGAATGAGGGCCCTGGGAACAGCTGCTTCCTTCTGTTCCAGAGCCTATCGCACTGCGAGCTCATCACAGATGATGGGATCCTGCACCTGAGCAACAGCACCTGCGGGCACACACGGCTCCGGGTGCTGGAGCTGGACAACTGCCTGCTCATCACCGACGCGGCCCTGGAGCACCTGGAGAGCTGCCGGGGCCTGGAGCGCCTGGAGCTCTACGACTGCCAGCAGGTCACCCGCGCTGGCATCAAGAGGATGCGGGTAGGTGGGCAGGAGAGGGGGCCACACCGGGCGCTTTTTAGGCAACAAAGGAATACACGATCGATCAACACCCGCTTTCTGCATCCTGTCTACCAGGAGCCCCGCGGCTGCTAACCCGGCTGTCCTTCCTTTAGGGTAGCTCTCAACTTTTCACAGGGGTCACCCGATGCATCACAGTAGCAACATTATGGTTATGAAGTAGCCACGACCATAATTTGATGGTTGGGGGATCGCGGCAGGAGGAAGGACCAGAACCGCTGCACTAGAGCATCGCTGAGTCCACGGCGGAGAGGCAGGGTTTGAGTTCATCAATGGTTGTGCAAACTCATCTGGTTGCACGAGTGCCCTTGGACCTCATCAAAGGTCCCTCGCTTAGAGAGGGTCCCGTGCCCCCAATATCCTGGTGATCAACACCCTAGAGAGATGCCCTGCCTTTAAAGGTGGCGTAACGTTACGACCAGGGTGGGAGGAACAGGCTCGTGGCTGCTTTCCAGGGTGAGGCCAGCAGTGTGCTTTTCTTTCCCCATCTAGTTCTTAAAGCGACAATTTGGCGATCACTTTCTAGGTTCAGACATTCTAGTTGCACCCCAATGTAGCTGCTTCCAAGGAGCGAGAGCTGCCCAGCACATTGGTTTGCACCCAGGACCAAGTTACCACCAGTAAACATCATTCTCTGGGATGAATGACCGTAATCCTGACACTTCTTTCTTCTTCCAGGCTCAGCTCCCTCACGTCAAAGTACACGCCTACTTTGCACCTGTCACCCCACCCACGGCAGTGGGAGGGAGTGGACAGCGGCTGTGCAGGTGCTGTGTTGTTCTCTGACAGTATGCCCCTCCCCAAGGCAGCGTGGCCTCCTTTCGCCAGAGAAGACGGGGTCCTCCTGACCACCTCCTCACACCCAAATCCGTGACACGCCACTGGAAAGGCTCCGACAGGTGAAAGACTTCTGGGGGGCTGCACTAACTTTGCTGACAGTTCTCACCTCCACCCGGCTCTAATGCAGTCAGTCACAGCCTAGTGTCAGGTAACACGTGGCGAGTGGCCTTGGTGCAGCCAGGACCGGGTGGGAAACCTCCCATCTCCCAACTCCTGGCTGGTGGGCGCCTGACTAGGTACAAGTCATACCCCTCGGATCTATCAGCATTCCTCAAACAGACCATCAGTGTTAGCACAAATTGAGCAGAAAAAAACAAGCTGTTGATTTTCTACTTGAAACTTAAGAAGCCAGTGGCCTACTTTAATTCACGAGTCCATTTTAATCAGCAGGATTCTTTCCACTTTGGAGACTAAAAAGGAGCATTATCAAAGTGAGTGTACTGCCTGCTTGTGTTCTACTTGTGTGGATGGCATGTCCATTGGTTTCCATGAGACACCAAAGAAACGACTCCAAGTGGTGGAGCAGGGTCTTCACCCTTCTGCTTCCGTCAACTTGCTGAAGACACTCCGGGGACCAAAACCTAAGCAAGCGCAATTCAGTGTGGGCTGCCGGTCGGAACCCCAGGCCCTGGCCTATGCGATATGGAGCACATTAGGCACTTCCAGTAAAGGAAAGAGTGTGTCCACATCTCTCACCAACTCTGGGGAACCTCAAAGAAATATAATTAAGGCTTTCAACATTCACTGGTGTAACCAATTAAAAATAATGGATGCATGTAGAATGGATGCGGTTTTTTTCCCCAAGTTTATTTTAAAATCTTATAAGTCAAGTTACACCAGAACTACTTTTTTAAAAATCCTTACACTTTAAACTCAGATCAGTAAAGTTGTTGGCACCTTTTACTCATAAAAGTAAAATGAATAAACCACTGAAATGTTAAAAAAAAAAATTAACCAAGAAGGTTTTATTGCTTTAATCTGACAAATCTGAACAAAAGCGTTTTTGAAATCCGGACCTTTCCTACATGTGACACGGCCTGATGTTTTCTGTTGTGGCTGGTTCCTGCTGCTACTGTCCGCATTGGTGAGCTTTACCGAAGAGGAGGGGCCCGTCGCTCCCCAAGCCAGGAGCTCATCAGATCAGCGTCTGCACTGACCCTGTAAAACCCCCGAGGAGACATTTCCGTGAACCACCACCCCGACACACTGCCTCAGCCAGATGCCAGGAGGCCAGGGTCACTACGACTACCGCACCCCAACAAGTTCAGTGTAGCAGGATGTACTCAAGCCCTACTGGCTTTATTGCTTTGTGATCTACTTCAGTGTCCCTTGGTCTATAGTCTGTGTGTACAGCACAGCAGTTCAATGATGTCTATGCCACTGTGTGTCGAAAAAAGATGCAGGAAGCCATCTAAATAAACAAATGAATACGTAACAGATTTGCCTCAGTGATTGAGTTAGTCTTATGTGTTAGAAGCCCTGGACCCGGTGCTCAGTGACAGGTGATCATGCAAACAAACCATCTGCTTCCTCCTGGAATGTGGGAGTTACATCACTAGAATAACCTGCCCTCGGTGTGATCTGCTTTGTGAGAACAGACAAAGGAAGAAGCACCCCTGTGAGTCTATGGTTTGCACAGGACTGGCAATGACACTGCACAGGTGGCTTTAAATGAGACACAAGTTTGCAAAACAACTGGAAAACATTTATTACACTGAAATGTGTACATCCTACTGTTAAAAAAATAGCAAATATGCTGGTGCCATAATTTAACCTGTTTCATTGGGACAGACTAATGTTCAATACTGCTCAAATAGTTCTTAGTTTGATGAGCTTTTAATTATTTTTATTCCACTTCTAAAACCTGATGAATTAAAAATAGCACACAGCATTAAATGGCATTTGCTCCAAAATTCTTGAGACACAAAGGAACGCTAAGTAGACCAGTGAAATGCTAAAACAAGAGGGTAGCCCACTTCTTTCTCAAGTGACAGGGACAGAAAACACCTGGCCACTGGCCAAACAAATGCAAAGGGAGATGGGCAAGGAAACCTGTCCTCCGCCAGGTCCACAGGAGCCACACACACTCGCAAACCGAAGATGGGCACATGTTGAGACAATGCTGCTTTATATTACAGAGGGAACCACTTGATGGATCGGAGAATGTCAGAGCGCTCACCCACTGTATTTTCTCTTCTGGAAGAAATTCCAAATACATAATTGTTCCTATTTCCCTCTAAACAAAGATGATCAGACAGTACATTCAAAGCCAGAATACTTGGGCACATGGACAGAGTTTAATTAAAATGGGACATGTGAAAGGGCTTCAAAAAGTTCATGGAAAATGAAATAATGATTTCTCAACTTTTTTGAAGCCCTCAAGGTTTTCTTTAAAATTCAGTCTGTTACACCACAGACCTCAAAAAATGCTTGATGAATTTCACTCAAACAGCTCTTGAGTGAAAGGTGAAATGAGAAGAGAGATTTCCTTGAAAAGTATACTAATAGAAAAGCGCTTGGTTTTTGTGAAAGAGGCATTATTTTTTATAGAAAATAAAGCCATTGGGTGGTGTCTAAGAAGTCCCTAATTAATAACCAGAATTTTTCATCGTGATTGTACTAAAGCTTGGTATTGGAGGAGAGGAGTAGGGATGCCCTCTAGTGTCTGATGTGTGACAAGCTAGCGCTCCAGGAGCAGTTTTATCTCCTGGATAACTAAGCCTCCTGAACACCAAGTCAGAAGCTGCCAATGATACTATTTCCCCTCCCTGCTGAGGTCACTCATTTTCAATGTCTGGGGTAGGACAGAGCTTTAAAAAGTACAAGAGAGAAGAGGATACCCACATGAATTTTAAAGGCAATGGGGCTTTAAAAAGGAAAAACCAGAGGCTAAAATGCTAAAAATGGAAGAAGCAAAACATTTTTCAATAAAACTGACAAAGCAAAACACAAGTCTTTGTACCTATTAGGATTTACACTGATCCTCTCACCAAGGTACTCCTGATAATGCAGTTTGCTTGAAACCCACCTTCCTGGCTTGATCCCATCAGACACACACACTTAGAATTTCCTCTGAGAAGGTGCAGAGCCCCCCAGCCCCGACCACCGACTCACTGTCAATACAGTGTCTCCCCACAAATTCTGTCCTGGCTCCACACAGCGCTGCCCACCCCCGCCTGTCAGCAGAAGGTCCAGGCAATAAAAGCCAAACTGGCACAGAAAGGTAAATGCCCACAGTAAGTTTTTACATTCATCTCCAAGCCTCGTACAGTGTGAAAGAAGCAAGGCTGCTTCTAGTGACGTTATCTACTGGCCTCTGCCAGAGAAGCAGGCAGCTCTGTCCGCAGTGGGCCTCCAAGCCCATGGGCTTTTCCACCGGGCTCGCTCTGACCAGGACGCTCGGCTGTGGCAGTGACGGCGAGGAGTCAGTCGCCTCATACAGCTCATTTGAAGGTCATCTAATGTTTTCAATATGAAACATTTTATACGGTAAAATCCAATTCTGAGACTTCTTGGATTCAGTCTTCACACACCTTTAAGCATGACTTATTTGGTACAGAATAAAAGTTCAATCTATATAGGACAAGGACATCACTTCAAGATTATGTAGATGCCGCCACCATTTTCAGCTGCCAAAAAAGGAAAGAGTGATTTAACAATTTTAAACTATTATCTTCTTCCCTCTAATTCAGAGACTAGCTTTCTCCAGGCACCTCTGTGCACACGTCCCCTTTCTTAGTGCGCTTTTCGACGACCAGCTGCAGACACACCCCATGAAGACGGGAGGGAAGCAGGATGGGCAGCCTACAGCCAGCTCTTCGGAAGGTCCCCCCACCCCCCTTGGGGGGGGATGGAGCGGATTCCTTAGCAGCACTATTGCCTGGCAGCCTTGTGTTGCTCAGTAAAAGGTGAGGAGTGGGACGTCTGAAAACCAGTTACCTAGGACGGGAGGGGAAGGGACTCCGTCTGCCAATTTCACCAAACACTGCAGAGTTAGACTGAGCAAGACATGCATGGTTTTGAAAGTAGGTAAAGTGAAAGCATGCTTTTAGGCTGCCCTTTCTAGATCGACTGCACTAAAATATCCCTCTTCCACCCTACCTTTCACTGTGGGAATGCACCAGTACCCATTCGAAGCCCTCTAGTGACCTTACCATGGCTGAGAACGTCCAAATTTACCCAATGACTTTTTAGGCCTTTCCTGAGTCATGGGCTGATAGAATTAACTGCCTACAGAACTGTTGATTGCTTTACCCTCAATCTTAGTGACCTTGTCAATGGGATGATCAGTCGTACTCAATCAGAGGCCAGGGGCTCAGCCTCCTCCTTCCTCACACTCAAATGTGGGGCCGTTTATAAATCTATGGGCTACCCCCACATCTCACCTGGATGACACCTCTTGCCTCCAGTTTGCTGTCTTCCACAAAGTAGCTAGAGTAAAAAATCTGATCATACCACTTCTCTGTTAAAACGATTTCATTAGCTTCTCAATAAAGGCCCTCTTTCCATTGCACAGTCACCCACATGCCTTGGAAGGCTCCCTGGCCATCTCTGCATTCATGAAAACCTCTTCAGTAAGGCCTGCCTTTCCTGATGCTTACTTAGCCACCACCCCGTATGTCCCTTAAAAGACAATTCTAATTTTAGTTTGATTTTCCCGCAACTATTGCTATTTTGTTCAAACCAACTAACTCCCAAAGTATGGTGTCTGACACAAAGTGCTCGGAAAACAATGGTTAAATGAATTGTGACTCTTTCCTGTCATCTACTCCAGCCACTGGAGAGGAGATTTTCCAAGAATAAGACACAATACAAGAGGGCTGCAGCTTAGGCACACCTTCTCATTTCAATTCCAGCACACATGCAAAGTACCTTTGATTGTAGAGAATAAGAAACAGCTCTCATCTTGAAAATTCTGAACCATCTAGGAAGAAAGCAGATGTACAGAATAATAAAAATTCACTTGTCAGTCTGTATCTTATTGAACAAATTTAGGCACTGTTTATGGATGGAGTGAGGTAGTAAAGATGCATACACACTGCATTGGTAGACCTGTCGGAACTGTGCCTACCCCCGGAGAGAGCCCTCCCATCACCTGCGTGACCTACTGGGAAGCGTGCTGCTTGCAGGTTCTGTGACTCTCTTAACGGAGTCAATTTAGTCTTATGTGCAGTTTAAAACTAGTCCCCAAATAGGGAGCGCAAATCCCAGTGCCTCTCGACATGAAAAGGGCCAGAGCCTGGAGTGGATCCAACAGTGTTGGGGAGAGGGAGCCCCTGTGTTCCTCAGCACTAGGCTGCTTGAAGCTCTTCATTAAATGCTGAAAAACTGTTCCTTTGCACTTTGGGAAGAATTTTCACGAGTATTTGCAGAGCAAGTCCTACAGTGTATCAAAGTAAATCATCGGAGTAATCGCCAGGGAAGAGGAGATGGGCACTACTTACCTGATCGCTAACAAGAATGTGAATGCCAGTGGGACCTTGTCTGTAAACATGGTTAATTTGGTGCAAAGGAATATTAAACACCATCGCAAGTTTTCGAGCAACTTCTGAGGCAACCATTTCTTCCAAGTAGATGGCATGATAAACTGAAATAAAAAGAGCAGCATTTTCACAGTAACCTTTGGCTTTTTGCTCACTTTTCAAAGTACCAAATGAAAAATGGCAACTAACACTTCCCCTAATACTCTCAAGCTTCCCTAACGTTCCATCTGAACTATAAGAAAATATTCAACAGCTATGCCATGCACTAGTAATGCATGTTTAAAGCAATCTCTGTACGAAGGGATTTGCAGTTGTAGATGTTCTTGGTTTCTCTACAATGAACATCGAGCTTCCCGTACGCCAGTTTCAAAGTCAAACAGGCCCGTGGGTCTTTATGGAGGTGGTTGGGACTAAAGCAGCTTGTGACATTGCAGATCTCTGGGAGGAGTTTCGATGTTGAGCCAGTATATTCTCCTACAACTTAGACTTTAGCCTCAGGTGCGATGGGTCTACACCCCACTTCCAAATATATTCCTTTATAAAAACAACTTGTATCCTAGATCTTAACAATTCAAAAAATGAACTTTGAAGTCAAAGTATTTCCAAATGAGAAAGCACAAGATAGTGATGTTTTCCTTAAAAATTGTTTACCGTGAAGCATTTTGCATACTCCTGCCCATCAATGGAGCAAACAGCTGCTTTTTTCAGTTTCCTATCTTCCTTATGGATGAAATACTTTTTTAAAAATTTGTCTTTAAAAGACCATATTGTTTGGGGGGGGGAGGAGGTTTGGGATGGGGGTGGTGTCTCTCAGCCGTAAACCGGCACTGTAGTATACACTAAGCAAACCCCTCAGGATGAAGCTCTGTCACACTCAGATGGAAAATCACCTGGAATGTACTCCCAGTGGCACCAGCACAAACAGCCTGTCTGCACGAGGTTCCCCATGCTGTGCAGCTCGGGCTGTGTGTCACGCGTTCACACATTACTATTGCTACACAGATGCTTCTTTGCACGTGTGACCCTTTAAGAAGACTCTTGATTTCCCCAGTCAGTAAAATGGGAAAAGAAAAATCCTCACGCTTTGTTGAACTATCAGTAAATATATATTAGGGGTCTAAAACCCCCAAACCATCACTATTTCTGATATAAGGAGCCATCTACAATAGAGATGCAACGAAAACCCAAGTCAAACTCACTTCCATCAAATGGATTCTGATTCATAGTGAACCTAGAGGACAGGGAGAACTGCCCCTCGGGTTTCTCAGACTTAGGGTTTCTTCACGGGAGTAGAAAGCCTCACCTCGCTCTCTGGAGGGGCAGCTGGTGGTTTCAAATCACTGGCCTTGCAGTTAGCAGCCCAACATGGAGCTACTACGCCACCAGGGCTCCTAGAGATGCGCACGGGGCTGAAATAACTGAGGTAGCTGACTTGGTTCCCTCCTCTCCCGAGGTCTTGGCCCTAAAGCTGCTACCTTCCTATTAGCTACCAGGTACTCCTGCAGCAGGAACTGGGTAAGCCCTAACGCTGCGTCTCAGAGCCCTGCTCGGGTCCTTCCCACCCTGCCTCAGCCTCAGCAACCTCCGGAGCGACAGGACAGTGAGATGCCTCAATACCCACCATAGGGTGTACAAGTGCCATTCTCGCCTGCACTGCCTGCAGCCTGCTGCTGCCCAGGCAGCGGTGTGGTGCTCAGCTGCTCCTGGCATACATAGATGGTTAATCGAGGCCTAACCGACCTGTAATCAGAAGATGCCACTCATGAGCCTAGAAGAGAAAGCTGCCGTCTCAGGGTGGGTACAAACCACCGACGACAGGAAATTAAGTCCTAAATTCCATAGGAGAACTTTACAGTGTTACCCCATTATATAAAGTAATTTGCAAATAAAAACCACGCATGTCACACCACTGTTACAGGTGGTCTAATCTGATGATCCAGACTCAAAACCATTGAGAAGGTCTGTCACAAGTTGGCAGAATAAGTTGCAAAATTAAGTCAATACTGTACAAGTTAGTTAAGATTCCATTTTAAAAGGAACTTTGACATCAAAATCTAATAACAGCAGTGATAAGTGATCTTAAAAGCCAACCGCGTTTAGTTTTATTATCCTTTTACTTCACAATAAAGGTTTACATTTTTAACAACTGTTTAGTAGCCACGACCTTAAAAACCATAGATTCTGTATAGCTCACCTAAATGAGAAGTTTTGTTTTCTTGGCAACAAACCCAGTCGTCTTCATTAATCAGTCCTGCCCATGTGCATTTCTACCAGTCTTACAGTCTACCTCTGCCCTCATCAGTGCCTGCATCATATCTGGGCCTGCCCTGAAGGTGTACACAAAACAGTCTCCTCGTGAGCGCGAGCCTGCCCATGCTCGACAGCGCGCAAAGCACAAGCCAACCTAGCACGGAAAAACATTCGGCCCCAATTCCCCACATGAAGGTGCATTCATATTTCAAGCAAAATAATTCCTTTTAAACACAATCTTTTACCTTGACTTGAGTGAGTTATAGAGCCGAATTCCATCCGCTGCACCACAAATTTGAACTAAGTCCTCCTTTGTCAATTTTAATAAGTCGGCACCTAGAAAACAGAATTTTTTCTCAAATAAGAACCAGCAGAGTTGGCTGTTTCCCTGAGCTCCGTGTTCACAGCTGGAGCCCTGGTGGCATGGTGGGAAGCACAGCCTCCGTGGTTCCATGGGAGAAAAATGCGACTGTCTACTCCTGTGAAGACTGATCTGACAGTGTCACAAACTCAAACGAGCAGTGCTGCTCTGTCCTCTAGAGTCGCTCCGAGTTGGAATCAGCTTAATGACACAAAGTGATACGGCTTTGCTTTCCCACAGTTAGTGCAGTGCCCTTCAAAACCCTGAGGTGTCCTGAGTGTACACATTTACCCGGACAGCTCAAGAATCCACACCCATCCTTGTCCCTCGGAGCCATCCTGTGTGGCGGACCTTAGAACAGTGGCTGTTAACCAAGGCAACAGGCTTCTAAGTCTGTCTGTCCCAACACAGGACGTCATTGCTGTGGCTTTGTGGATAAAAGTAACTGACTGCAGATCACTCAACTTTGTAATCAACCAGATCAGTTACAAAATTCTTTAAGGAAAAAAAAAAAATTTCAAGTCCAGAATCTTAGGGCCCAGCCCGAAGTCACACAATTATACTTGGTAAAACTAGGATTAGGAGGGCTTATTTACAATACAAATTTTAAACTTAAAATTCAATACAAAGTCTTTCTGAAACAAAAGAGGTCCCAAGAGCCAGTTTTCATTTGCGAGCACGCCAAGGAGCTGCATGCTGCACACTGCACTACGTTTCCCTCGGGGATGTCACCGAGTTGGCATCCAGGATTTGCTTTAAAGGCAAAGGGGGTGGGGTGCAGGAGAGGAAGACTGGCCAAAGACCAGTGTTTTTCAAGCTGGAATGCTTACACAGGAGCTGATCACATCTGGACCTTTTTACCCGTTGTGACAGCACATATTGGAGAAAGTCCGATGCCCTCCAAGATCCCAGCAGGCTTTATATGTGATCCCTATCCCTGTAGTTATGGAACAAGATATTGAGATTCTTCTCCTGTTTCTAGGACTCAAATATGAGAGCCTAATAAACTTTGTAATTTACAAAAAACAAAAACCAGTGAAGCATACTTCTCAAAGCACACCACACCATGGGGTCAGGTGAGAAAAGTGTCGCCCTCGCCTCTCCCCCAGGACCTACCACACCCACCCTTCACCCAGACAAACGGGCACCAGAATGAGAGTAAGATTCCTTCCTCTGCCACCATCCTATTGCCAGCACTGTGTCTGAGGATTAGACAAATGTGGAGGGAGCTCACCGAGTAAGGCTTAGGGCGGGGATTCTGAAGGTGGTGCTTCCAGTGGAAAGAGCTCTTGCGCCCGCAGTAACAGAGGTCGTCTGCACAATGACACCCCAGTGGTCGAAACTTTCTCCACTCGCTGTGCTGCTCCTCTGCCTTCCCCACGGGGGCTTAAGAACTACTTGCCCCACTGAAATGTCACAAAATTCAGTTGGCCAGAACATAGTAATGTTCTGTGAGGAAAGGGTCCCAGGGCCAATCATATCCCCAAAATACTGCATCTGCTCTGCGTGGCACATCTAGTACTGTCCCTCTAATGTGCCCTCAGCTTACTATGCAAAAAAAAAAAATTTCACTAAAGCATGTATGTATCTTACCTAGATTGAGGATCTCTGGTAGCACAGTGATTATTCCTTGGGCTGCGATCCATAAAGCCAGCAGTTCAAAACCACCAGTGGCTCCACAGGAGAAAGGGCTTTCTACTCCTGTACAATCTCAGAAACCCAGAGATGCAGTTCTACCCTATGCTAAGGGTCACTGAGTTAGAGTTGCCTAACTAGCCGTGAGGTTTTTTTGTTTTTGTTTTTGTTTTTAATCAAAAATTATCCACACCAGGGAGTACCATTCGGCAATAAAAAGGGACAAATTCTAAATACACGCAGCTACTTAGATGGATGTCATTTTGCTAAATGAAAACAGTCAAATATAGCAGATGTTATATAAGAGAGGCTTCCCAAAGTTTGATTCCATTCATATCAGTTCTGGAAATGGCCAGGTCATAGAGATGGAGCTAGATTAGTGGCTGTAACGAATCAGGAATGGTGGGAAGGGGGTAGTGTAGTCCACTTATAAGAGTCAATCAGAAGGGAAGCTTCAGGTGATGGCATAGTTTTGGATCTTAACGATGATGATAGTCACCGGAATCCACCCATGATAAAAGGACAGTGATGCACATTATGCCACAGTTAGTCTCCTGGTTTAATGCTAATTACGTGAGCTGTAACCCCAGTGAGTGAAACTGAATGCCAGTTACATTGGGATTCTCTTGTCTCTAACTTCCTACAAAACTACACGTTAATAAAATAAAAGGGAAATTGAAAAGATCTGTGCGCATACTCACAAGTGAATTCTCATCATCTGGTAAATTATGAATTGTACCACTAGCAATTTCCTAGTCTTGACCAGGTATGACACAGTCAGATAGGCAAGGTGTTACTGGCGGGGGAAACTGGGTGATGGCTACAAAGGCCTCTGTACATTTCTGTACAACTTTTCGTCAATCTATAATTATGACCAAGCGAAAGTCAAATTTCTGAAGGGTGAGGAAATCCCAGAAACCAAACACCATGTGCACACGCGTACCTGAAAAACTGGAGAACAGTCTGGAGCAGGAGGAGAACCGGTTGTTGAGCAGCCATTGCTGGGCTTCCTGGGTAGTGGCCGAAGGCTGAAGTTGCTATTAGCAACAAACGAATGTAAACAGAGGGAGAGGTAACTTTCAAACTTGAGAGAAAACAATCCAAGTCTCTGGCATATTATAAACAGAACACGGAAATTCTATAGATTTATAGTAAAACACCCAAGAACATAAATCCAACTGTTCAAGTGACCTAATAATGACAAGAGGTCCCCAAAAGAGGCCACCAAATGAGAGCCCTAAACACACAGGAGGACTCTGAGCAGCTGAGAATGTAGCAAACTATACTCACCTCACCAATGGTCTGTGACACTCCATCTCCCTGATGATTCGGGGAAGAAGAATTACTGGGAGAAGAGAGAAGAAAGGATGATTTTTTTAATATAATTCCACTCCCAAAATAAAGACATTAAAGGCTCAGAAACTAGGTGAATTTAATCTAAGACAATACTGGGGGTGGGCGGAGGGGTAGAGTAGTAAGTTTGCCCTGGTGGCACTGTGGGTCCAGCATCAAGTCGCTACCCAAGAGGCCAGCCTGCCACCCACTCGCGGTGGGCAGAGACGAGGCTGTCTGCTCCCATCAAAACTGACAGTTTCAAAAGCCTTATAATGGGGTCCCCCAGTCAGACTCAACTTGGTGGCTGGAACCACTTGTGTGACCACTTTCCCTGTCTTTCCAACGGAAAAGGAAAATGGAGAACTCCACGGCTGCGGCCGCCTCCCTGGTCCTTTCTCAGCACTGTACCTCAGTGAATCACAGCCTTATTATTGTCGTCTCTACCAAGAGCCTCATTAATGTTTTCACCTCACAGAGAACACACACGAAAACGCTCCCTCTGAAAATAGTAACTACTGGTGTGCCTGTGTGAGGCACCCGGCACTAGGAGCAAAGAGCTGGCACTGGAAGAACAGACAACAGTTCTCTGGAACTGAAGTACAAGGATACGGAGGGGGTTCAAAATGCTCATGGAGAAATTCCAATACCTTTCCATTTGAGTTTTCCACAACTTTTTTGAAGCCGCACGTATATTTTTAAGCACACAGGAGGATGCTAAAGAATACGGCGTGCGAGCATGAAGCGGCCTCGCGCACACAAGCACACCGTCGGTACCTGTCGGGGACACTGCAGTTGCTCGGCGGGGGGGAGGTGAACGTGGGTGCTGCGGAAGGACTGGCATTCACATAGGCTGTGGGGGTATCAGGCCATGGAGAACACTAAGGACAGAAAGAAGAAGAAATTACTAACTAGCTTTAAGAGTACATGGAAGAAATCTTTATTGTTCACGCTCTAGTCTGGCCAAATCCAAGATTATAAAACACAAGATAACGAACACTCATCAAGCAAACCTCACAGAAACACTTCAGATTGACTTCTGTGTGGCACAGAAAATGTTTTCCTGCTGTGTGCGGCTAACAGATTAGTCTTAGAATAGACCCAAAGTGTTAAGTGTATGTTTCTGCACACTTTCACTCCTTCTGTTCTGAAATCGTAGTGAAATCTCAAGTTCCCTAACAAGAACCTATCAATGTGTAAGAATAGCAGAGACAAGAAAAGATTCATGAGCCAGGCCTGACAGAACCTCTGCCCTACCTAAGGCCCTTCCTCACCACTTTGCCCTCTTCCCCAAAGCGCAGCCTCCCAGTGCCCATGCTCACCAGTGGTGTGCTCAGATTAGTGATCCCTAAGGAAAACCACACATGCAGCATCGAAATGTGTCAACTAGGTCCGACATGCCTGCCTGTCTGTCACTGCTAGAAGCATGGTGGAGTATTTTTCAGCTCAAGGTACCATTTCCAACCCAGTATAAAGCAAAGTCACACTCGTGCAACGGTTGAAAGATCCTAAATTAAAAGTACACTGGGGGGG